GGTCATTGTGCGCAACGTCGTGGACGACACACGGTGGATTTCTGACTCCATGCAACATTACAAGTCTCACAAGATGGAGTAGATCTTAGAGTATGTGTTGGGAAGAACTCTCAGCTACTACCACGTCCAATTTCAGCTCAATATCAGTAAAACAGACGGTTCTAGTCTGGTTTAAGTCTAGACTGTTTCCTAGTCTGGCGTAGCCTGCTTAGCTGTGACGGCCATCTTGAATTCATTCAGTGGTTAGTTTCTGAGAGTCTCATGACAATCAGTCTGGTGGTTTATGAGATATTTTACTAACAATACAGGCAAACACAAAGACACCGTGATCACCAGCTGTCTCAGACCAGAACCTCAGCTTCACTGCTCTTCAGTAAATGTCTCTGATTCTGTGGAAACAGAGTTCCCAGGAGTCTCTGATCTCTGATCTCAGATCAGATGATTCCTCTTTCCCTTCAGTTCCTAAAATCACCTCCTTAATTCCCACTAAGGCTCTGCCTCACGTCTTACCCTCACAGAGCTCCACACGTCTGCTCCTCCTCTTCCATTTGTTATTTTGTGTCTGCACAGCATCCACTCTCCTCCTTTTATTCCCACTTTCACTTCTTTTTGTCTCCCCTCTCCCCTCTGCCCTCCTCTCTTATGATGCGTTTAGCATTCAAGGCCTCTCACTGCTGCATCACAGGCCTGTTTGTATCACTGAGCTGCAGAAAGAGAAGATCTGCTTCCACAAGGAGGGGGGGGGGTCTCTGTGCCTCCACTCTGAGGAAGAATGCTTCCACACGCACAGATGAGCTGCAAATCTTTGAGATTCACACATTTCAACACAGCCAGAACCCACGAGGACGCATGCAGCAATATGTTCAACAGGCCAGGAATGCACTCATGCATGCAACTCTGACACACACACAAGCACGCACATACACGCACGCATGCACGCACGCGCGCACGCGCGCACATACGTGTGCGTGAACACACACGCGCACACAAGCACGCACACACGCACAAACACACACAACAAGCAGCCGTCAATATAAAACATATGAACTGTTGAAACCACAGTATTCATCCAGCATTAATGCTAGAGAGACCACACTGCTAGAAGACTAGCTCTGCCAGCAGCATGATCCTGTTAGCAGTGTGGTCCTGTTAGCAGTGTGGTCCTGTTAGCAGCATGGTCCTGTCAGCAGTGTGGTCCTGTTAGCAGCATAATCCTGTTAGCAGCATAATCCTGTTAGCAGCATGGTCCTGTTAGCAGCATAATCCTGTTAGCAGCATAATCCTGTTAGCAGCATAATCCTGTTAGCAGCATGGTCCTGTTAGCAGCATGGTCCTGTTAGCAGCATGGTCCTGTTAGCAGTGTGGTCCTGTTAGCAGTGTGGTCCTGTTAGCAGTGTGGTCCTGTTAGCAGCATGGTCCTGTTAGCAGTGTGGTCCTGTTAGCAGCATGGTCCTGTTAGCAGCATGGTCCTGTTAGCAGCATAATCCTGTTAGCAGCATGGTCCTGTTAGCAGTGTGGTCCTGTTAGCAGCATGGTCCTGTTAGCAGTGTGGTCCTGTTAGCAGCATGGTCCTGTTAGTAGCGTGGTCCTGTTAGCAGCATGGTCCTGTTAGCAGCATAATCCTGTTAGCAGCATAATCCTGTTAGAGCGTGGTCCTGTTAGCAGCGTGGTCCTGTTAGCTGCATGGTCCTGTTAGCAGCATGGTGCTGTCAGTGTGGTCCTGTTAGCAGCGTGGTCCTGTTAGCAGCATGGTCCTGTTAGCAGTGTGGTCCTGTTAGCAGTGTGGTCCTGTTAGCAGCATGGTCCTGTTAGCAGTGTGGTCCTGTTAGCAGCATGGTCCTGTTAGCAGCATGATCCTGTTAGCAGCATGGTCCTGTTAGCAGTGTGGTCCTGTTAGCAGCGTGGTCCTGTTAGCAGCGTGGTCCTGTTAGCAGCATGGTGCTGTCAGTGTGGCTCTGCCATGGTACTGCAGGACCATGCTGCTGGTAGTAATATTGTTTTATAACACTATTTTTGTTGCTGTTGTTGTCTGTGTAAAACAGGTCTCTATTGTAAATGAGTCCTCGTGACTCAGTGAAATGAACCTTTATAAATAAAGTAAAAAAAGTTGGATACCAAGAGGACCTGTTTAACTCTAGTTCATCATCCAATCAGCCTTCAGCTGTTTCAAGGTCAAATATGGAGGGACGTTTCCCACAGTTGTGCTCCGCCCCTTTTGTTTAAAGTAATGCCGTCAACGAGCCGAAGTTCAATACCCACATCCTCCATCTCAGAACACAGAACATCCTGAACGTCCATTAGAAGGACTCACATTCCCAACAGATCGTTCAGCGACTGAGTCAAATTCATTGATGTAAACAAAGATGGATGAAAACAAAAATGTTTTGGAGGTTTTAATCAGCAGGAGCTGGAAAGATGGATGAAGTAAAAATATGAAGCAGCAACATGAGGGTGAAAGAGCAAAGTGGTTTTTGTCCAAATGAAATGTGCTTCATTAAAAACAAATCCATTTAAAATCATGAAGCTCTGACACGATCTGCCACAGGAGCAGAAGAAACATCAGCTGAAATCCAGGAAAACATTCATTCTCACGTGCATGCCTTCAGCTGCATGCTAACAAGCAGCTAAAGCTAATAAGACGTTTCAGTCTGTTATCACTTCATGTAAAATCTATTGTCTGCACCAAACGTCTGCAGTTTCACCTCAAATACTCAACGGAGCGACGACAGCATCTCCTCACTCAACTTCCTCCTTTCAGCTCCAATAAAACAACACAGAGCGGAAAATGTGACGGGATCCATCCAGATCACGCTGCAGGAGTTTATTCACAAGATGTAAACGTGTCAGAGTCACTTCTGGAGAGGAGGAGAAGAGCTCTGGAAAACAGAACGGAGAAAAC